AGGTACTCAACTTCTCAACACCATAGACTAAATTTGTGTAATACCTAATTGGTACATAGATTTGCACTGCAATACATTTTCTAGATAGGTACTATGATCCGTAATTTTRTATAAGTATAGAGTTTGGATAATTGACATAATATTTCTCCATTCTTTTCTATCCAAAACTTCCACCTCTTTTTATTCTCTATAATATGAATATTTTCTAATATCTGATATAATTTGTTTTATATGTACTACCTTCATAGGTTTTCCTTTTCCTGGCATCCATTCAATTTTTCTTTTGGATTGTAGTTGTTATCCATGCAGTGGCGCAACTAGGGGGGTGCATAAAGGTCTTTAGCACCCCCAAGTTAAAATTTAGCACCCCTTGTTTTTTATATATAATTATTATTATATACTTATAGTATAATTATGAATTTTATGTTTTTAAATAATAGGAAATTTACTGAAAAAATGTTTAACTGTTTGGTCGTAGGTATAATGTAATTTGTTATTCATCTTTGTAGAATATTGAAAAAGATTTATTCAACCAGATAAACACCGAAACTATTTTGAATAAATATTGCATGAAACCCATAAAAATTATGCTGATTTCAAATGTATAAATTAGGTATTTATTTTACAGGATTATGAAATTAAAATGTTTTAATATGTTTCTGATATTGTAGTAAAAAAAGAGTATTATAAATGTTGTTCAGTTTTTTATTTTTGTAAAAAGTCTTAATATATTTTTTAAAGTTTTTATGTATCGATTAAAGTTGGTCTATGTTTAGAGGGTGTGGGGGGCTTTGCCSCYCCCACGGCCCTGTGATGTATTCACAGATTTAGCACCCCTCGTTTTAGAGATCTAGTCGCGCATATGTATCCATGTATGTATTATGTAATCATATAATATGATAATATTAAATTATAAAAATAAAATAAATATATAATAAAAATAATCATAAATTGATATAAGTTCTAAATTATTTGACTGTAATGCTAAAGAAAAATCATTAATTTCTTAAGTAATTCCTTATAATCTAAATAATAATATTGAGTAATAAACTTATTATTACCTATACCTAACTAATAACTTTCTTATATTTGTAATTATCAAATAATACGATAATTATTGGATTAGATTGTGCCATAATAGTCAATATCTATTATATTTAATTTTTAACAATAAACCAAAAATAAGGCGGAAAGTACATTTTTTTAAATAGTACTGTTATATAAATTATAAGTTTAAATGGTTAGAACAAATTATGTATTAAGACTTGTATGATATAGGTAGGTTAGGTGGTAAATTTATTTTAAATAAAATATACAATATCTAAACATATTATCAATATACTTAGTACTTAGTTTAGTTCTATAATTTATAGTGTATAGTACATACCTAACTACTAAAACTATAATAGGTAGGTAGGTAATTGTTTATTGATTTATATTTTTCCAGGGCAGAAATATGAAGCTAGCTTGTGATATCATTCTTACATTAATATTTGGACCATTACAACAACATAAACAGCGTAAAAAGATTTACTTTTAAATATTTCAATATTWAAGTCTATATATTCTTTATTTTTAGTTTATGACTATTATTTTATCTATATTTTATAGTTATGTTTACGATTATAGACAAAATGTTGTTAAAATAATTTTTAATTTTACAACGGAAAGTTAAAAGTCATAGCAATTTTTAATTTTCAACTGTATTAATTATCACAAAACARCCTACTACATTATATTCTAACACAATATTTGTATAATCTAGAGTCTGTTATAAATATATTTTGTGAGAAATTAAAAAGAGTTAGTACCTACCTATATGCGTTAATTATGAATATTCACTTTGATTAATTTACTTTGTATTATTAGAAGTTATTACTTATTATTATGTGTACATAGACTAGAGAATAGCAATGTTGAGTGTTTACATTTATTGTTCATTTGTGTTTTCTTARGACATAATAACTATTATTTATTGTGAGGATGTTGATAATTTTTCATGAGTAGTATTTAGCATTCACTCTTGAGTCTTGATTGATTTTTAATTTAGAAAATCGAAATATGTAACCGTACCAGGGGACAAAAAAATAACGGCATATATTTATTTTTTCAATTAGGGTCTCATTGGTTGTTCCTAATTTGAAATAATTTGTCAATTTTCAAGTAAGATTACTACACTTAGCGTTTTATTATCATGTACCTATTGTACTTATGTATTATGAATTAAACACATTTAAACTTAGWACTTTACAAGTACCTACCATGTATTTAGGTTATTACTTGGACAACTTGTATTATTCTATACTTTGTCCACAGGGTGATCCAAAAATCAGTCTTTATTATACTTGTTCAAATCTTATGTATTTTTAGTGGCTAAATTTACTGTTATTACTATCTTAGAGGAAATCTGATTTGCCAATGGTAGTTCAATTGCATCAATAAGAATGATAGTACAATTACTTACAARTATTTGTATATTTGGTCATTAAAATACTACCGATTTCTCCAAYAAAATAAATTATATTTTATCGATTCTCTACTTTCAACTCGTGTGTATACCTATATCTTTTGACTATTTTATACAAGTCATTATTTTTAGTKACCCACCTAGTATTTTTAATCAAAAAAATTGACTGAACGGTAAATCAATGTTTTAAACATAAATTTATTTTATGTTATTATTATTTAATTATTATAATATTATTACTATTACTACTTATTATTATAATTATTGTATAATGTTATATTTATCTTTATTATTGTAATATAATTTATTTATTAACTATTAGTTTAAAAAATAATTTAATAGATACAAATGTTTCACTACCTATTCATTTTATTCATATTTGTCTCCAAGATTTTTAATAAAATTGCTCAATAACAACAAAAAATGTGTACACCCATTGGACAGTTGTAATTTCATAGTGAAGAAACTTATCAACAATAGGTTTAACTTTTCCAACCTATAGTTAAATAAAAAGAACTGTTTGCTAAAACTAAATAAGTACAAAYTGTATATTGACTTAAGAAATATTCAGTAGGGGCATAGCAAGAATCAGTAACACTTTTGGCATAAAATCAAATTTGCGCCCCCTATCCAATTAAGCTGAAAATAAACAAGTTTTTTTTTGTAAATTGTCATATTTAGATTGAGAATGCCATTCGATGAAATAACACCTTTTGTATAACTGCGCCCCAGGCAAATGCCCTCTTACCAGTTACCAGTGCCTATAGCTACCGCCCAGATATGCAGGTAAGTGTTAACATACATATATAATATATATTCTRGCTTCCTTCAATYTCCGCCTAACATAGTATTACATACTTTATCTTCTGATTAATAATTATTATACTGTATTGTAAAATTTCATTTRGCATATATACATTTTTTAAGCAAAATAAATTACAAGAACATTATAAATTTCAAACAAATTGGTTAATCAAAGTKTACATCACTGTATTAAGAGGACGTCTAACCGGCATGTRTTGTCTTCGTCTTACACACGTACGACCTAGCAAATTATCTTTTGCTAGTTTCAATAGGGTATTGTCGGTTTTGATATTAGAGTGTACCCACCTATTATCAAGCCTGG